ATAAATGATGATGTCTTTGTGGCAAAGAACAGAAACGCAACGTAGGGATTTACAAAGTAATCGTGTGTTAAACGCTATTATAATGTGACTTATATTTGACAGTTTAAGCCAAAACGAGGATGAGAATGCCAAATTGAAGAAGGGCCGAAGTTGCAGAATTTATTAAAATTAAATGAAATGATGATGAGGGTCACGAATCACGACGCAAACAACAAGCAATGACAAGGCAGACGGGCATCAAACCACACACACAGTGCAGACGAATCAACTGTTAACTTTATATAGCAATCTGACGTTCATTACGTAATATACTCTGCAAGCATTTTAAAATATATTGTACATCGATATGTCTCCAAATAATTTAATATTAAAAACGCTTAGCAACCCTCCGCAAATATTTCGTATAAGCAACACACAGATACTCAATACAAATACGGACGGCGCGGCGCTTTATTATGGAGGGAGAATTTTTTTCTCCCTCTGGTTTGTTATTGTTTGCAAATTGACTATGACCCCCTTTATCGTTCTGACGATACAGGGGGAGCCGCGCACTTCGTGCGCGGCGGGTCATACAACGTATGACAAGTTTGCTCCCGGCACAGCCAACAGTGAGGTAGGAGTTTGAATCAGTTAATGATTTTATTTCAACCAAAAAACGAAAACAGATCAGTGATATCATGAACTTTATTTTTTAATTCATTATCGGTATCTTTGTTAGTTTTAAGTTATATTTTATGATAATTGCTTTAAAGTTTTTAAAGTCTTATTTGGAGTTTATTTTAGAAATTAGTCGAGATCTTAAACATAGACACATCCCGAATCCGACATACCTTGACATAATGATGATCGTTGATTTATTTTTCAGCAGAGGCACATATTAGGTGCGGTAAAAAAATCGAAATTATGCGGTACCGCACCCGACTATAAAGGTAAAATATGCGGTAAGGTGCGGTAAATTTTTACCAATTATGCGGCAAATGTGCGGCGATTTTTTCGAAATTTGTGCGGGAATTGTGCGGTTTTCTTTTGTATTTTCTCAAGGACTTTGGAAATTCTAAACGTATAACCGCCGCTCTTATCAAAAATAGGTCTGTTTAATGTGTTACTGAGGGTGTAGTTCTTTACTAAGACTCTATGTGTTTGAGGATGACTGATTTCCGAGCGTGGTCCACAAGTGTATTGCAGGGCTTACAGAACAGTTTCCCCCCAGATTCGTAAAAATGTGAACCAAACTCTTGAGCTCGCCAATCGCCATGCTGCTGAGATATCCCCTTGTTTTGCTGATGCAGGTATCTTCTGTTTCTTGTGTGGTGAGCTTGATGATGGGTTACTGTCTGTAGCTGTGTCTGCTGTTCGTTTCTTTAGGAAACGGTCCATGACGTTGTGATGTGATATAGAGTAATCAGATGATGTGGTGAAGTTACAAATGATAACTGATACACTATAATCGAAGTACGGTAACGACGAAGGTACCATAACGGCCTGGGTCACGGTCCCGAAAGGGCCTGGGTCATGGTCCCGAAAGGGCCTGGGTCACGGTCCCGAAAGGGCCTGGGTCATGGTCCCGAAAGGGCCTGGGTCACGGTCCCGAAAGGGCCTGGGTCACGTGGTAACCGGGTCACGTGGCCTAGGCATGAGTTCCAAAAGGGCCTGGGTCACGGTCCCGAAAGGGCCTGGGTCACGGTCCCGAAAGGGCCTGGGTAACGGTCCCGAAAGGGCCTGGGTCACGGTCCCGAAAGGGCCTGGGTCACGTGGTAACTGGGTCACGTGGCCTAGGCATGAGTTCCAAAAGGGCCTGGGTCACGGTCCCGAAAGGGCCTGGGTCAGGGTCCCGAAAGGGCCTGGGTCACGTGGTAACTGGGTCACGTGGCCTAGGTATGAGTTCCAAAAGGGCCTGGGTCACGGTCCCGAAAGGGCCTGGGTCATGGTCCCGAAAGGGCCTGAGTCACGGTCCTAAAAGGGCCGTGACTCATATTTTGGTTTTTACACTCGAAAATCTTAACGCGAAAATTTCAAAATTATGTGAAATTACGCGGAAAATGCTAGATTATGCGGAAATATGCAGAAAATTACAAAATGTGCGGAAAACAATAAATTATGCGGAAATGTGCGGAAAACGGTAAATTGTGCGATCCCGCACCCATCGCACCTAATATGTGCCTCTGTTTTTCAGACGAAAGTAGCAGACCCTGCAGAAAACGTAGCAAAAGTAGAACTAGTAAAGAAAGAGGTAAGATTAATTTCAAATTAAAATAAACTTTATCATCCGTTCAACACTAAATTAATTTAACAGTTGAAAATCAAAAAGTTGCACACGTGGGGATACGCCCAAATTGATGGAAAATTGCATTTATGTGGTTTTGCCATTCGAATTACGTTTGTCCTGAAAAAAATTAGAACTATAGCTTCTCAGATAACCGAGATATGAAGCATAACGAGTTTATTCATTACGTGTGATCAGGTGATTGGTTTACCTAATCACTTGATTGGGTGACCCCGTTAACCACCCCGTTAAACATTATGGGAATTGTTAAGGCTGCTCAATTAACTATTAAGGTGTCGTGTCACGGTGTCACCTAATCAACCAGTCAATGTTGTTAACGAGAAACAGAAAATGCTTGATAACTTTGTCATTTCTCATCCGTTTTGCCTCATGTTTTCAGATCATATGCAACATTTAATAATCATGTTCAGAGAAAACAATATAGGTGTTTTAATATTGAATAGGCGTGGTCTAAAATATTCGAATTTTCAAATTTTGACGACGGAATCCTCGAACCAGTAAATACAGTATCATAGGTCGACCGGGATCGGAATTTTCAATAAAGGGGAATTCGTAAGCCGTGAATGGGAAAAGCGAGCGACCGATTTCATTCTCAGTATCATTTTGCATTTGCAGACGGTTATTCAAATTAATATCATTTACTTTTGTTTGGGAAAGAGAGACACTGGCAACGGTCCACTATACGGATACCCATGATTATTAAATTGATTTATATGATAATTTTGATTATATAAAAGTATAAACTGCGATAGCAACAAATAATCCTCACCACTTTCAGAACCACGTCACAAGAGGAGACCGAGAAGAAAAACTAGAGACAAGAGGGGGGCTTGGGTGGCTCGATATCTTGCATCTTGGCCCGGGAGAGAAAGTAGAACTAGTAAAGAAAGAGGTAAGAGTTTCAAATTAAAATAAACTTTATCATCTGTTCAACACTAAATTAATTTAACAGTTGAAAATCAAAAAGTTGCACACGTGGGGATACGCCCAAATTGATGGAAAATTGCATTTATGATTTACAATTTAATTGTAAAAATGTAAAATGACTAAATATTGCTATTTTCACGATTTTTATCAAATTTGGAGTCCCGTTGTAATCAGTAATGTAACTGTAAGTTCTTATTGAAATCTTTTGAAACTTTGCATGCTTATTAAACTACATATAAAATACCAACATGCAAAAATGAACGGTGATTCAATATTTGATATTGAATGCGCACGCAACGTCCGCCGCTCAAAATTTGCACGTGCGAAAGTAGAAAGGTGATAAATTTGCTCATTTGTGATTTCTATTAGATTCTGTTTTCCCACGACAGTTACATTTGTATCACGTCGTGACCCCCACGGTCGTTTCACTATAGAGTTTCTACGATAGAGTTACTACGATACAGGGGGAGCCGCGCACTCGTGCGCGGCGGGTCATACAACGTATGACAATGACAAAGTTACATATTGGCATTGTTATATACAGGGTGGGCCAAAAGTCAGTGGCCAAAAGTTATTATTATTATATTATTATTTATTTGGTATGACTTAAATTACTACCACCACTGGTTCGAGGAATTTGTCAAATCGAAAAATATTCGAGTTCATTTTTTTCAAATGAAGGTTCATTTTTGCATTTATTTGATAGTTTGGATAGCCGGATTGAGCTAAATTTTATTGAATTGTGTTTTGCCATTCGAATTACGTTTGTCCTGAAAAAATTAGAACTATAGCTTCTCAGATAACCGAGATATGAAGCATAACGAGTTTATTCATTACGTGTGATCAGGTGATTGGTTTACCTAATCACTTGAAGTTGATTGGGTGACCCCGTTAAACATTATGGGAATTGTTAAGGCTGCTCAATTAAGGTGTCGTGTCACGGTGTCACCTAATCAACCAGTCAATGTTGTTAACGAGAAACAGAAAATGCTTGATAACTTTGTCATTTCTCATCCGTTTTGCCTCATGTTTTCAGATCATATGCAACATTTAATAATCATGTTCAGAGAAAACAATATAGGTGTTTTAATATTGAATAGGCGTGGTCTAAAATATTCGAATTTTCAAATTTTGACGACGGAATCCTCGAACCAGTAAATACAGTATCATAGGTCGACCGGGATCGGAATTTTCAATAAAGGGGAATTCGTAAGCCGTGAATGGGAAAAGCGAGCGACCGATTTCATTCTCAGTATCATTTTGCATTTGCAGACGGTTATTCAAATTAATATCATTTACTTTTGTTTGGGAAAGAGAGACACTGGCAACGGTCCACTATACGGATACCCATGATTATTAAATTGATTTATATGATAATTTTGATTATATAAAAGTATAAACTGCGATAGCAACAAATAATCCTCACCACTTTCAGAACTACCACATCAGGAGAGGAGACCGAGAAGAAAAACTAGAGACAAGAGGGGGGCTTGGGTGGCCCGATATCTTGCATACGAACCCGAGAGAATAAATTAAGCGGTAACTATAATTACTAACTTAAACTATACCTTTTGATATCGAAATCTATAAATTGGAAATACTTAATTAAAGATCTATTAACCATACCACATAGCCCATATTAGTTTACGTTTAAGACCATTACAAATCCCTAAATATGGTAGGTTTCAATAATTCTTGATTTTGAAATTGTAACAAGAATTGTAAAACTATATTTTTAGGAGGTAACGGAAAGTCACCTTTACTTGGCTAATTGGACACCATTGACCATTATGCTGATAGGATGATTCAAAAAGGACTGCATCGCGATACCGGACATTATTGAAAAATAGTACATTAAAAACGCAGCCACATTTCAAGGACTCAAATTAACTTAAATATGCATATTTTGGATGAATATAATATATATATATCAGGTTTAAAAAAATATGGGTTCATAATGTTATCAGGCATGCCTGGCTGCGAGTTCTTTTTAATGTTTTTGAAAATATGATTTATCAACATTTGTTATTACTTTTAGCTTCATTATAACCGTAAAAATGTATAATATTGTTTCGACTATCGATCACAATTCCGGTGCTGGCGATCGCTGATCACTCCATAGAATTGGTGACCATGCTCCAACATTTGAATTCACTGACATCGAATTTGAGGTTGGTCCAAAAAGTGAAAAACATGTCCAGTACTACTACTACGACTTCAGTAATGCCAACCTTAATAAATTCCTAACCCTACTGAACACTGACCTCTCAAAGCTCCACACTTCTCATGAATTCTCAGATTTTACTAAATTATTTGATCATGTACTTGATGCAACATGCAAACTTGTAAGGCCAAAAACTACTAAACGGAATCCTATCAATAACCCCAGCTGGATAACAGATAGTATTTCAGCAGCCGTTGAAAAAAAGAACATGAATTAAAACTGGATTACATCTAAAACTAAGGCAAACCCTGATGGAGACCATGTTCTCGAAAAAACCTTCAAGGTATACCGAAGGATCCTCAAATCTGTAATTAACTCTGCAAAAAATACTTACTCTTATTGCAACCAAATCATAGAAAATAAGCACGACCGTAAGAAGACATGGCAGATCATTAATGAACTTAGAGGGAAGTGTAAAAAGTCTATAAAACTCTCATTTATAATCGACAACAGAAAAATAACAGATAGAAGGGTTATTGCAAACGAGTTCAACAAATACTTTAACTCCATTGCCTCCACTCTAAATGAATCAATAGCTGACCTGCCTATACAGGCTTCTGAATTTTCAACATTTGAAGACTACCTTCTGCCATCCAACAATAACTCTATATTCCTAACTGACTGTTCACATACTGAGCTCATGGAAATAATTTCCAAGTTGGAAAATGGCAAATCTAGTGATATCCCAATCCGTATAATCAAAAAGTCAGCTCATTTAATCTGCCCTGTTTTAGCCCAACATTTCAACAAACTCATGATGAGCGGGCTATTTCTCGATGTTTTGAAAGTTGGGAAAGTTACTCCCATATTTAAGAAAGGAAACCAAGAGGATGTAGGAAACTACAGACCTGTCTCTACACTGCCTATATTTGGTAAGATATTTGAAAAAGTGATATACAGCCGTATCTACAGTTTCGCTCTGTCGCAAAATATCCTTGATGAAAACCAATTTGGCTTCCGCAAGTCCCATTCTACTAGCCATGCTGTTAACTACTCTGTTAGGATTATTGAAGAGAGCATAAAAAACGAAATCATGTTCTAGGAATATTTATAGATTTGAGTAAAGCATTTGATACAATCGACCATAGTACACTCCTAACAAAACTAGATAGGTATGGAATAAGAGGCAATGCAAACTGTCTTATTAAAAGCTACTTATCAAATAGAACACAGTACACAGAAGTCCTTAATGAAAAATCCGAAAACGTTATCATTAAATATGGAGTTCCACAAGGCTCTGTTTTGGGACCGCTCCTTTTTCTTCTATACATAAATGATATTGCCAATTCCTCGGATTTAGGAACCTTCATACTATTACTATTTGCTGACGACACCAACATTTTTATTGATGGCAAAACTTTAGAAGAAGCTTATGAGAAAGGCAACAAATTGCTAAGCTGTATAAAAAGTATATGATCCTTAACAAACTTTACATCAACATGTCAAAGTGCTGTTATATGCATTTCAAACCAAAGGCTAGTAAACCAGTAAAATTGCCGGATTCGCTTCAACTCCATATCGATGGCTATTTGCTCTACTAACGTACCAGAGCCCTCTCGCTTGCAGTGAAACAAGCGCGTCACGCAGCTTACGCGTATACAAAATTCAAATGGCTATGTGAAGTCAATCAATATAATGCATCGATTTCATTGGACGAGAGCAACTGTATCATGAGGTTAATTGCTTTTGGTGAAGTTTGACTACAAATGGCAACATTAGACCAAAAACTTGGTTTCAGCCCCCCTGTGCTGTGTGCATGACGTAGGGTTACCTGGCTCGCAAATCTCTGTGCGGCGCTTTTTCACTTTTCAAGCTTCCTTGTTCCTGAACAGTGAGCGGAGCGAGCAATAGACTAGCAACTGCAAGCTAGGTAACCGGGTAGGTGAAACTGTATAGTACTAGTAGGGGTCCGTACAGTTGGAACTTGGCACGGAGCTGAGGTCGAAGTAAGGACCCTTGCAGACGGATTATAGTTTTTTTACGTTTTATATCGGATGCTATCGCAGCTTCTTCTTCCAGTTCTAATTCATAACAATAAGCCTCACTGCGCACTGCATGGAGTGTGCAGAGGATGAGGTGATAACACACATACAGAGGCATTATTCACAAAATTTTGGGAGGGAATGGGTACGTTAAATTTGAACTACAAACTCGAACAAAAAGTCTTACAAATAGTATAAATAACAATTGATTTTATTGATATTGAATTATTTAAAACAAAATGCGAAAAACCCGCAAAATCTTGTTCCAACAACAAGCCAACACTGGTTCTAGACTTACAACCTCACATTTTTTGAAATATCCCAAATATAAACGCTAAATTTTCCAATGCTTGAATTAATATTAGCTATCATGACTTACTAAGCGATTGTGATAAATATCCGTATTCATCGATGTCAAATATATCGATTTAAACTGTAGCAGTAATAGTATTCTTTACTCAGTTCAGCCGTTTTAATACTCAATACATTTAGCTGGATCGCACAAACATATTACGTCGGCACAAAGGATTAGAGGAGGAGGGGAGATTGGAAACGGAAAAAATGCTGGCGCTGAAATATTATTAGGGTCAACTCCGTCGGGGGCTGACATAATAATATGTCAACAGTTTCTTAATTTGTAATTGTTGATACGATAATTTGAGCGATCATCGAAATCAAACGTAAACCATCTTCTTAGTTCCGCTACTGTTTTACTTTCATTTATTTTCGTCAATCTCAAATTTTGGTTATGAATTTTCTGGAATCCCAGATTGTTTTCAAAAATCCATTTCAAATCCAACAAGAATTGCGCCCGTTGTTTCGTTTTGGCGGACGCTAGATTTCCATTTCACATTTACTATAAATTTAAGTATAAGCTCCAATCAGCTCACTTCAATCTTCAAGATAATAATATTGATAAATTATGCATCAAATACGGGAAACACTTGAAATTCAGTTCAATTACCGTAGAACTTAACTTGTATCTGTAATTCAAGAAATTATCAGCAAATGTAAACTATACTCGTGTACACATCAATACACTACGCGTGCCACGTACAAATTGGGCGTATTACCTAATAGTAATATTATACATTACATGCATCATATACATTAAAACACAGTCGCGCCGCGCATTCATAGATCACAGGCGCAGGCTACTATACATCACATCTCCGCAAGCAATCCTCGCGCGCGCCCAACTTTTTGTTGCATGGTAACGAACGGAAGGAAGGACACACGACATATTTAAACCCACCTATCTCGTTCTCCAAAATCCACGTTTTTCTGCAAAAACCTCCATTCGTAACCTTTCACTATTGCCTTTTTTCAAAAGGGTGAAAAGGAAAAAATTAAATAATAATGATAAAGTTAATAGCCTCGATTATAAACCATCGCTGAAGCGCTGCTATACCTCAGCCTGGAAAAGATGGCCACTAAAAGCTAGAAATTCAAAGGCAAGTTTTTCACATCCGTGGTACAGTGCTAAGCGCTAGGGGTACAGTGCTAGGCACTAGCTGTACTAGTTATTCACTGTGTAACATCAATCCAAACATTTTTTAAAATTTCAGGACTAGTCCAAACAATAACAAAATGAAAAATTACTCATTTTACACTCCCAAACATCACTCTCAAACAGGAGTGTTCATGTACTGGTTGATGAGGGACTGTTTGACGTGGAACAGGTCTCTACTACTCTCCATACTGCAGTCTTTAACTTCACTGCTTACACTCTTGCTGTCAGTCATACTTCCGTTTAGATTATTCCTGGGAAGGTATGTTATCACTTGAGCCGTAGTAAACACATATTACATTACTTTGTTGTTTATATTGTTAGATCAGTTAACTTATTCGTTGAGTGAAACATGTTTGTGGCATTTAAAAATTTGGCACAGCATAGCATAGAGATATGAGCATCGAAAGCATTCGGGGTAATTTTAAAATATGCATAAAAAGTAGAATTTAGGAATTGTCTTGAACCCTTCTAGTAGTATAGAAGCATGAAGGCACGGAGATATCGTGAAATTCTCATAACGCGAAACCAGATTTTTCCCCACTTTCCACAACAGAAGTTTGCGCAGAAGTGGAATCGACAGTGCTATCAGTACTGCTTCATGGGACTAAGCTGCTTGTCATTCCCCATACAAACATACCAAACTTTCATTTCTTGACAGCATCTCGAATCTTTGAAACTTGATGCACCTTCATTGAAGTTATTACAACGTTCGACAAGTTCAAATCAAGCATCTGCATATTATCGATATACAGAGACATTGTGACTATCAATGAGCGCCATTCCACAGCACCGTTTTCGGCAAGGCTTGTTCAACGAAAACTCAGAATAGTTGCATACACGTTACACGTGCCAGTTTTACGAACAGTCGGCAAAATGTTACATAGGTAACATAATAAGTGATCTAAATGAATGTGGCCAAATCTAAAAGTTAGCAGCCATCTAAATTCTAAAAGTTATATTTGTTGCGGAATACAGCAGATTTGGCATTTTCTAGTTAATGATCACCGACACCAGAATGGCAACATATAGCGAATTAGCGAACATGTAGCAAGGGTTTTTCCAAAAAACGATTCTGAACTTTCATATTCTGAAGCATATTCTGATCTTTCTTAGCATTGTGTAGATAAAAGGTTTGAGCTGACAGCAGTAACCTACGTGTCACGTGATAGATTTGTTTGAACCTCTCATAGTGCTATGGAGTGTAGTGTTGTCCTGAAGAATGTGAGATTTAACAGAATATGGACCAAATTTTAATCGGAAAACATATCGGTGATTACAGCTTGATCAAAAACAGGTGCCATAGCTAAGACTATACAAATGTTTCAGAATTTCGGAACGTACAGTCCAATCAAATGAGTAAAGTACAGGTGCAAAATCTCATTAGTAATTTCAGCTTTAACAGCCACCTGGACAACAAGATATAATTGTATACCACTTGCAGCACCGAAAAGATTACCCACGAATTTCAATCCCCAACCCCACGTTATTAAGAATAACTTTTCCAGGGACCGTTTTCATTTTATTATGCGTGTCCTCTTTCTTATCCTGTTACTGTCGACTTTTCTATGTCGGAATCGCGTAATCAAAGGCAAGAAGATGGACGTAGATTTTGCGGAGAAAATAGTACGTTCATATCTGTGTACTGGAAACAGAGAATGGTGGAAGAATATTCCAGATGATATGCTTAGATACATGATGCATGTATCGGTTATTATGGCATGTAATGGTAACATTACATATACAAATGTCTTGAGCAACCTACCTGTCCTACTCAAAGAAGCAGAGAAAGCAGTTAAGCTGAAATCACTGAAGAAAAGAACGGAGGTTTCTGATTGCCTCTGGAATGGAATAAAGAAGTGGCATTTTGTCCCTTTCTTTTGTCCTTTATCGTCAGAGAAGTTTATGCAAAATTACGACAGATCTGTCAATGATCTCGTCAATGATTTCCTCTGCAGCGGCCAATTCAGAGGTTCGTGGAACTGGATCGGATGCAAAATGGGAAGATTAATACTGGAGAAAATGGATGTGATACGAGAAGTAGTACATCCCTATCTGTGTGAGAGTAGTCGTCAAAGAAGGCAATACGACGTGGTGTCACTGATGGCAGTTTTTAAAGAGACAGCATGTTTGGAATCGTCTGCTTTTAATTTTGATTTTGTTGCCATTAAAGGAGGCAACAACATTCACTTTATGACGTACGGATTTTGGTGTTGCATAATGAAATTTGTGGAAATGTAGCCATACAAAATACATTATGAGTCATGATACGGTCACCTACTTATATGGAAATGTAGTGACAAAAGTTTCTTCTTAAAATTTCTGTACTTTGTTAAAGTAAAGTATTTATCTAATTACGAACGTGTTTTATTTTGTGGATGAAAATTAAAAACTAGTGCTGGTATAATAATGTTAGAAAAAAGGTGGATTTATTTCCGGGATAAACTGTCGCGCTCATGATTAGGCTCACTTTTCTCACTTCTACAAAACACTAACACACACTTTCCCAGTGCAATATACCTAAAGACCTAAATCAGGTTTCCCGCGATTTTGATTGTTGAATTGGTTCATGTAAATCAGCATGCACAATCTTTCAAGTAAACGGGAATAGAGAAGGAGAGTGGAACCCAACATGCAATCTAACACACGCACTCACAGGTCGCCCCCTCACGGCACACTAGACCGACTTTTAGAGACAGGTGTTAGATATTCAGACAGCGTGAGCTCGCTCAGACTCTCGCGCGACACGTCTTCTGATGACGTCACGTGAGTGGATCGTGACATCACGTCATTATCATACGTCGCGTGACGAATCACGCCGATACTCTCAGAGGCCGTTGTGAATTTTAGCAATGAGTCAGAACGCAGAGTTGTATCAATATCGGACAGTGTTCCTACATTGCTTAGTGATTTTGAGCGAGGCATTTCTGGTATGAAGGTCTGAGATGAGAGACAGCTGAACAAATGATCGTCACTCTTTGAAAGTCTTGTTTTGTCCGATTTACGGAGTTTTTTAGGTGTGGAAGTGAGCGAGTTTGATGGACTGTCTGATTTGGAGAAGAGATTTCGCATTCGACCGAAATAGTAGTTGAACCTGCGATCATTTCTCTTATTCTTCTTATATACATCTTTTTACAACAAGAGCGAGAAATCACACGTTTTGGGAAAATGGACGTTTTTACTAAAGATGTTTTTGACTTTAAGAGTTTCAAATCCCACACCATTTTTGACGAACAAAACCTTTTACTGTCGATGATGACGCTACATTTTTTCGAAAAAATCGAACGAGAAATCCAACATTGTAGGGGGGGGGGGGGTGTCATGTCCGTCTATGTCCGCCTATGTCCTGTCCTTTTTGGATTCTATGAGACAACGGACGTGTTTTTTGGGACATTGGCGGACACGGACGGACATTGGCGGACTCGGACGGACATTGGCGGACTCGGACGGACATTGGCGGACTCGGACGGACATTGGCGGACCCGGACGGACATTGGCGGACTTGGATGGACATTGGTGGACATTAGCGGACATTGGTGGACATTAGCGGACAAACATTTTGAGGACTGAAGAGTACTGAAGAGGATGGCTGAGAAGGATGGCTGAGGAGGATGGCTGAGGAGGATGGCTGAGGAGGATGGCTGAGGAGGATGACTGAGGAGGATGACTGAGAGGGAGGAGGAGGAGGACTCAGGAGGAGGACTCAGAAGGAGGAGGAGGAGGACCCAGAAGGAGGACCTAGGAGGAGGAGGAGGAGAACTGAGGAGGATGACTGAGGAGGAAGAGGACTCAGGAGGAGGACTGAGGAGGACTGAGAAGGAGGAGGACTGAGGAGGATGGCTGAGGAGGATGGCTGAGGAGGATGACTGAGAGGGAGGAGGAGGAGGAAGAGGAGGAAGAGGACTGAGGAGGAGGAGGAGAAGGACTGAGGAGGAGAAGGAGGACCCAGGAGGAGGAGGACCCAGGAGGAGGAGGACCCAGGAGGAGGACCCAGGAAAAGGCCCCAGGAAGAGGAGGAGGACTGGGGAGGAGGAGAACTGTTGAGGACTGATGAGGAGGACTGAGGACGAGGAGGAAGAGTAGGAGGAAGACTGAGGAGGGGAGGAGGAAGAGGACTGGGGAGGATCAGGAAGACCCAGGAGGATCCAGGAGGAGGAGGAGGAGGAGGAGGAGGACTGAGGAGGAGGACTGACGATGACTGAGAAGGAGGAGGACTGAGGAGTACTGAGGAGGATGGCTGAGGAGGATGGCTGGGGAGGATGGCTGAGGAGGATGACTGAGGAGGATGACTGAGAGGGAGGAGGAGGAGGACTCAGGAGGAGGACTCTAAAGGAAGAGGAGGAGGACTCAGGAGGAGGACTTAGGAGAAATGAGAAGGAGGACTGAGGAGAACTGAGGAGGAGGAGGAGGAGGAGGAGGACTGAATAGGAGGAGGAGAAGGAGGGGGACTGGGAGAGGACTGGGGAGGAGGAGGACTGATGAGAAGGATGAGGAGGAGGACCCAGGAGGAGGAGGACTGAGGACCGAGGAGGAAGAGGAGGAGGATGAAGAGGAGGAGGAGGACCAGGAGGAGGAGGACTGAGGAGGAGGACTGAGGAGGACTGAGGAGGATGGCTGAGGAGGATGACTGAGAGGGAAGAGGAGGAGGACTGAGGAGGACTGAGAAGGAGGAGGAGGAGGAGGACTAAATAGGAGGAGGAGGAGGGGGACTGGGGGAGGACTGAGGAGGAGGATGGAGGACTGAGGAGAAGGATGAGGAGGAGGACTGAGGAGGACTGAGGACTGAGGAGGAAGAGGAGGAGGATGAAGAGGAGGAGGAGGACCCAGGAGGAGGACCCAGGAGGAGGACTCAGGAGGAGGAGGAGGACTGGGGAGGAGGAGGACTGTTGAGGACTGATGAGGAGGACTGAGGACGAGGAGGAGGAGTAGGAGGAGGACTGAGGAGGGGAGGAGGAAGAGGACTGAGGAAGATCAGGAAGACCCAGGGGGAGGAGGAGGAACGGACAAAAACATGATCCCCCTATAACAGCAAAAATTGAACATTTTATTTAGCAATTTAGGTGTCCATTAATGTCCGCCTATGTCCGCCTATGTCCGCCTTTGTCCGTCTATGTCCGCCTATGTCCGCCTATGTCCGTCTATGTCCGCCTATGTCCGCCTATGTCCTGTCCTTTTTGGATTCTATGAGACAAGCGGACATAGACGGACGTGACACCCCCCCCCCCCATTGTAGTACTTTCTATTATAGTCTATACCTGGATAAAAATTAGAAAAAATAATTTAATATCTCACGAAAAATAGTAAATTTTTGATAACTTACTCGTTGAGAATCTTCCCGTGCAAGTTTGAAAGATCAAGTCTGGAAAGTTCTCTGTTAAACTCGTCAGTAGAAGCGATGTGAGTGTTCTGAGTGGGGGGAGGCGTTGTGAGGTGGCTGGGTGTCTCCGAGGGGGCCGGAGAGAAGTAGAGATGTCCCTCACGCAGACCAGGTCGAGCTACCTCTACAGGGGGATTAGGTCATTAGTTGAGTGGTTAATTGGGTTTTTAATTAGGGGCTGTAACTGTAAGACTGGAAAATAGGCGGTAAAGTGAGACAAGTTTGTCAGGATACACGACATGACTTAACCAATGATTTGTTCACACCGCTGTCACGTGTCAAGACAAATTTGTAGCACAGAGGCGATTCAACAGGGACCATCCCCACAAATGGGTGTGTTATCAGTGCGCCATGTTAAATAATGTGGATGTAGGACTGATGGGAGCTTTCCAAAGTGTGCTATATCTTGAATGCAATTGTTCGATCTTAAAGTCTATACCACAGCCGCGAAAAGCTGGCCTCTCAGTTTTAGCGACTATCTTTTCGCGACCGAGCTATAATTGAATGGTTTACTTTGCTGCTAGTTTTGACGATATCATATCCTTCGGCTGCATTTGTCCACAAAGTAAGTATTTATATACAAGTGATTATATACACATACGCTTAAAATTAAACTTAAAAGTTAACTTGTAATTGTAATAAGAGTCAAGTTTTATTTGGAACAATGAAGAGTTAGCTATCAACCAATACAAGTGATTTGTAAGGTATGGAAAAAGACTCATTGTAAAGATATAAATGATTAGTGATATAGTCGAATAGTGAATTATCCAGAGAAGATTTACATGCTTCTAATGGCAGAAGAAGTTTATGAGAAAGAAAATGAAGTGATTTAGCCATCTCCAGCTTGTAGCTGCTGAGAAGCCGAACGTGCAAAACTGCAAAGTAGAATTCATTTTTTCGAACTCAAAATTACTCTTTTTCATGAGAAAACATGCAGTTTTCTAGTTCTACTGATTGAAGAGTACCAGTTTCACTCAAAATGTGGTGAATGTTGTCAAGCTCGGTAATGACATCATCTATGCAAATTGAGGTACTGAGATCCTGATCCATAGACTTGATGTGATCTGATAAGATGTTAGTAGAATCCAACAAAACATGTACACGCCTGAGTCAAAAGTAACAGAAACGATATGCAACTTGCAAGAGACACAGCAGTTGTGCTCCAAGGTTTGGGTACATCACATGCCTGCTTCACATCACAGAAGAAAGAACAGACAAACCCACGTACACAGTACACACCACGTACACACATCACGTGACCAGTGACCACGCACCTGTTATAGTGATGGGGGACTCGGGGGTTCTTGTTTCGTGTCTGTTGTCATGTCGATGGTTGTTTTCTCGTTTGATGGAGGCCAGGTTGGGGGTGGCGAGGAGGTTGCTTTCGAACAGCTGGGTTCGTTCTTCTCTGAATCGCTTGTGCTGTGTGATAGATCATTGTCAAATGCGATGAAAAGTATTTTTAATCCTTAATCCAGATATTATGAAAATCTAAACATTTGACGTCAGCAATCACGATGGTAGCAGAGTGCTTTTCAAAAGCTTCTGAAACAAATCTGTATAATACATGTCCAGAGCCCCTCCAACAGTTAAACACCAGAAGGTTGATCACAACAGTAGTGTTACCACATATTCTAGAAATGTGCCGCAATTGTAACCAATGGGTCCCTTGTGATAGAGTTTGAAATTTAATGGGATCGTGATCAATCACTAGCCAATCATCGGTCCGTAATCTGTACACGTGATATATGCAGGCCAATTAATGCACTGAGCGCCACTCAGCCACTGTGGCATTTTAAACAAGGTTTTTGGGTAAGGTCATTAGGTAATTAGTCTTCGGTTAATGGTAAGGTTAAGGTTAAAGTGTGGATGTAATTGGCCACACAAGTAGGAAGTAAAATAAGGACCCGAGCACAGACTAAAATAGATCACAATAAGAGCACAGCTCAAAATAGAACAAAATCTGATTGGCAGTCACGCTGCACGTGACTGCCCGCACGTGACTGGCGCGCGTCCAATGGACGTTATGAAGGATATCTGTTTTGGTTATAGCAGGAGAGATCACGTTTAGAGTGCGTCTGTCTGATTAGCCCACGTCACTGCACACGTGACTGTGCAGAGCCAATAGGGTGCTATGTAACTTGTGTAAGGTGTGTACGCTAGGTGCGTGTAAGGGACATCTAATTTATTATTAAACACAGCTGGCCGGCAGAGAATTGAAAATATAAGGACTTTTTATGGATGAAAATCGAAGCGAAAACCTTGTAACCCTATGTTTTCGAGTACGCTGAACAAGATTAAACGGGTTATAATTATCATACTCAAGGGCAAATTGCTTTAAAATGTACTTGAATGTCATAGATGCAATTATACCGGCTTATCGAGTGGCACCAGTCTCTCTCGCCACTAGTTCTCAGCTTATTATCGGGCTCGTGAAGGAAAAATCTCTAGCTCAGAAGACGAAAACCATTTTCTCAACATTTGCTAACATTAACGAATACGTATATTAACCAGTGTCCAGTATCAAGGATTGTATCGGGACTTCTATAAGAGTATAAGCGGTATTTCTAGTCCGCAGTTTTACTCATAGCGGTTTTATGATGAACTAATTATTATCATATGACTGTGTTAGGGCTACTTACAAGTTGGTTGACACTCCTGTTAGCGCACATCACTGCAAAGTGCAAACGTGACTGTGCAGAGCCTGAAGTGCGACAGAGAATTTTCAAGGCCGACACTGTCGCACTTCAGTACGCTATACCCAATACCTGGACTGTATAATATTCAATTTAAAATCATTGACCCGAAGCCGAAGGAATTATGATCAGTGGATCACTTCGAAATACATGACGTGAACCGACGAATCGGGTCCACAAGATCACTTCGAAATAAGTAAAGTGAAAAGACCCGACGAATCAGGTCCACAAGAAGGGCACTCATACACTCTAGTGCGAAAGAGGATCTGACCTGAACATGGAAATAAGACAGGATATTGTCATGTCGCACTAGAGTACGCTCTTTTGTTACACGCGCTTTTGTTATACGTTTGATTTTACACGCTGATCGATATTCAACACTAACCTCGACACGTGTCACCTCCTAATGGAACTCATACCAACCATGAAGATCCCTCCGAGGTTTTCTCGCGGAAAACCTCCCAACTACTCTCTAAAGGATCCCTTTCTACCTCTGGAAACTCTACACCTACAAGCGCAGGCTGCAGCTACTTTTCCCCAAGTTAAGTACTGTAAAATTTATATGCACTACCGTCGTGGTGCCGATGAATGACAATTGTCTATTTCCTATTCTCGTTCGGCATCCTACCATTCCAGTGCTCAACAAGAAGATGACTACAAGTCAAGGAAGCAAGCAGGACTAGAGGAACAACTACAACACTGCAGTACTCGCAATGAACACCGACCCCCATACAGTTATTACCCACACACACCGGAAGTGACTCAGGTTATTCCTTATATGGAGTCACGTACATTAGTGTCTATTTTTAGATTAACTGTCTGCAGTCTATTAGTAACTGATCTATTATTGAGATTGAGAGTTTTGATAGTCTATTTTATGAAATATATTGAATTATTAAACTCTAGCCCTTATAACAATGTGTATCATAATACTAGGACAATCACCACACCGGGTTCGAACAGGCAACCTCTCACTCCTGACACGCACAATACTTACATCTTTTTGTCAATTCTCTGCCAGAACCTATACTCTGTGTCCCATTTCTTGTGTCCCACCCTGAGTCAAAACAGCACAACTGCAGAGGTATGCAAAAAGCAGCGGTCTGAGCGGACTGAAGCCGCAGTCTCTCCACCCGGCTGGCCCGCGGTGTCAGTCCCGCCACTAGCCCGGGTAGATATTGTAAAATTTACTACACCTTATACCAACACTCCCTGTGCTACTTCCGGGAGTGTGAGCTGCAAACTCAGTACACGACATGTACAATGTAACCAAAGTACATTGCTGAACTATACACGACATGTATTAAAAAGAGAAATACATGATACATTACACAGCGGTGATAACTGCCCCAATGACACATCTGATGGACAGGATAGCGACACAGGGAATAATTCATCACAAACCTCTTCAAAGTCATCTGAAACCAAGTCAAGAAGAGTTCAGATCAAGAGCAGAGGAGCTCTTTTCAACGGATCACGGAATGGCTCACTGAGCTCAGGTAAAGATGACGATGAAGATGACGATGATAAGAATAACAGCAAAGTACCACGGCTGCTTCACCAGTGTGAAGCTACTGCGCTGAAAGAATCCGAAATGACTGAACATGATAATCATCAACCCGATGACACCTACAGTAACCATGAAGTCTCCGCTCAAGGCCATCTACGGAAGTCTAAGACTGCCGTGGCCAACTCCACGCAGATAAACCTCAACGAATCAGTTTATCCAGCGTTTGATATGTCCTTACTGAACGGGATCTCATACTCACTAGGCTCGATGTGGAAGTCTGCAAAGAATGTTTCCCTGTTCGGCCGAAACTTACATCAAGACAAAGATGGTAATACCTTCGAGAGACCGACTGAAGATGATCCAAACATATCAGAAATCAGCAATCTAAGTGGTTTATCGAATATATCGGAACTGTCCTTTGTATCTATCCAAAATACCACTTTATTAGAGGAGAATGTCCCGAGGAACGGACATACCACTGACACTGATACTAATAAAGTTGACGTTAGCCACCATGATGAGGAAGACAAAGAAAACAACAAGAACGTTACTACCTACACCGGGACAGCTTGTCCCGAGATCACTCCCATCGCGCTGAGACTCAAGGGTCGCATCAGAACTAGATCAGAAAACTCCCCACTCACTAGAACCGGCCCTTACGATGTACCACCATCACACCTCCTGAGAAAAAAAACAAAGAGCAAACTTGAAATCTCTTTCGACGTTCCCAAACCAAACCCCGGTGCTTAAGCGGAAGAGAAATCTATCAGAATCTATTGGTATTTCTCCATCCCACAGTAAGGGTGGAATAGACTGTGTGAGGGTAAGAGATCCTGGACTATACAACTGTAGTGCTGGTCTAGGGAGCTACATCCACCTTGAGCACAATTATCTCGACAAGCAAGACACTGGAAGAATCGATAGAGGGAAACTTATGGCAGAAATTTCCAAGGCCCTCTCAATACATGGTGACGACATAAGTCATCGAGAAACAGACATTTCTGTCAATATGGCCTGGTGTGAGGAAGCAATAGAAGCAGTGTCACAGAAACACTCAAACAGAAACACACTCCACCCAATTGATCAGAGAAACTGTTTACTTTACCTACTCAGTAGGTTGAATATTCACCAAACTCGTCTGCTGTCCAACAAACCAAACTTCAATGGACTAAAATTAACCATCCTCCCAGAAAGAACAGAAAAGTTTCCTATAAAGTGCCATCCTGACAGTGATGGACAGCCTATCACCCTCTTGTACTTAAGCAATGATAGTAGATGCGTCAACATCATTGCAAAAAAACTCGACCAGAAGCGCCTAAGTGTTTATGACATCGAACTGGAGAACAACTCTCTCCTAACAATCTTCCCAGACACCTACCAGCATATGAACATCAGCTTGCCTAGCGAAGGGATTCATCCAAAGGGCAAAGGAGATTTTAGTATTATCATAACACCTTGCTTTGTCAAAACAGAGAACACTCTGGATCTTGCGATTGAAAAGCAACAAACCGAAGTCCTCAATTGTTCAGTAGAACACACCGAAATTGTCCCAAATTCGTCTACCCCTGAAGAGACTGTTTCAAATTCTTCCTCTACCCCTGAGAAGACGACACCTACTGATCCTAATGAGGCAGAACAAACTAAGACTGTCTCGAATTCTTGTGTCCCTGTGGAGACGTCAGCAAATGACCCCATAGAAGTAGAGCACGCTATGACTGTCCAAAATACTTCTACCCCTGAGAAGACAACAGACACTGATCCCGCAGAAGCAGAAAAAACTAAAAGTGTCTCAAATACTTCTACCCCTGAGAAGACGACAGCAAATGACCCCGTAGAAAAGGCGACAGTTCCTGACTCCAATAAAGCAGAACAAACTAAGACCGCCTCAAATACTTCTACCCCTGAGAAGACGACAGCAATTGAGTCCGCAGAAGCAGATCACGCTATGACTGTCATAAATTCGTCTACCCCTGAGAAGGCGACAGTTACTGACTCCAATAAAGCAGAACAAACTATAAAGACTGCCTCAAATACTTCTCATCCTGAGGAGACGACAGCTCCTGCCCCACCGAGTGTGGAGACACAGAGCACCATCGACCCCTCGAAAGAGTCGGCACCGGACGCGGCATTCATTGATACCAAAACTCTTAAACTGTTTCTAAGTAAAGAAACATTGGTGCAACTTGCTGACCGAAACTCGAAATCTAAAATCATCG